ATATATGCGAGAGTCCTAGCTCGCGCTTTGCAGAAACAACCCAGATTTTTAGATCGAAAGTCGGCGAAAATTTAGGGCTTTTTGCCGAATTTCGGCACGAGAATTTTCATGCCTATTTCAATCGTAAAGGATAATATAATATTTCTACAAAAAATCAAATTTTTCCGCGCAAAATCCCAAAGTTATGGCCAAAAAGCGTTTTTCTCTTTGACCGCTCTCCACGCTTAGCGTGCTCTCTCGGCGGCAAAAAACGTTCAATATCTCGGCGGGGCCCGCAAAGCGCGAGCTAAAACTTTCAGGAATGATATTTAGTCCATACCCGACGTGTGTGCAAAATTGAAAGAAGATCTGAGCGTCGCACTTGGAGTACTTCCCCTGTGAGTTGAACGATCTTTGCGGCCGAGAGAGTACGCTAAAAGTGGAGAGCGATCAGAAAGAAAAATTTTTTGGCCATAACTTTGCTAGTTTCGCGCGGAAAAAAGTGATTTTTTGTGGAAGGATTATCCTTTACGGTAGAAATAGGTAAGAAACTTTTCGTGCCGAAATTCGACAAAAAGTCTCAAATTTTGGCCGACTTTCGACCTAAAAATCTCGGTTGTTTCTGCAAAGCGCGAGCTCGGAGTAGAATTGTTTTGTGGCCTATGCCCAAGGTTGGTCAACAACCCATGAAACGCGAGACATTATAGTCACAACACACAAAAATATCATCGTAAACCGAATGAAACAAAAGATACGAAAACACAGTCCCTTCTCTATAGACTTTACGTATACGATCAACAGAAACAAAGGAATCCCATATATAGCCGGATAACGGGGTCTGTTTTCAAGCATGACAAATATGCTATATTAGCTTGTGTTTTGCAGAAATTGAGGAGAAATTTGGAAAAAATTATTTACAAGGGAATTACTCAATGTCAAAAATTCTTAAATATTTCGGATGTGCCTGCAAAGCGTGGGCTAAAATTCAGAAGAATTGATTTGCAAAAGCCTAACCCTCGATACGGCCTCTGGCGGTTAAAAAAAGTCTCCGCCGAGCCTTCGCCAATGCGTGAAACGTCCGGAAATCCACCGAAACTAACAGATTGCACCGTACCAGATGCAACACACCTAATTTCATCCGTAATTAAGCTGTCTGGGCTTTATAATGAGATGTCATTTTCAAAAAAGACGTCAGATTCTCCGCCGAAAAAATGGTCTCTCCGCCGACGCAAGAAAAAATTGTTTTGCATATCCTAAAATCGCCCATCGCCAAATTTTAAAGTCAACTTAAACTTCTTGGATAGCTGCAAAGGGCAGAAAGATATCAGTCTGTCGGAAAAATAACGGCGGATCGTCGCATCAAAATGTCTCGCCTCGCCGCTATCACGCACGAAATCCCCAGTCGCGGCTTGCAGTCGCAAAGCGATGATGGGCGATTCCGAGGCGCGACGATCCGCCGTTATTTTCCCGACAGACTGATATTTACAAAAAAATTCTGTCATATCTCTCGAAACCCCTGTATAGACCGTTCTAGCTAATTTTAAAAAAAATGTTGTGTTCGGCTTCCAAAAAATCTCTTTCTGTTCTTAAAGTCTCCCAGACTCATTAAATATTACGAGAAGAATTTTAAAATATTCAAAAAATTTTCAAAACCAAAAACGCGTAGCCAGAATGGTTTGCGTATTCGTCTGCTGGTTTTATACCCCACCGTATTCGACGGTCAACATTTCCAGGCACGCCTGCAAATCCATTGTTCCCGACGAAAAAGGCGACAAATTTGAGAAGAGTCCGTAGGCGTCGCACCTGTGCAAACCTCTAATCCGCGACACCTTGGGCATGGTTTGTAGCGGGAACCAGGGTAGAACGAAGCGTTGGTACGAAACTCGAAGGAGCAACACCTCAACAAATCGAGTTCAAAAAATAAGTCGAGTCCCTGCGATTACAACCCAACGTTTTCAATAACTAAGCACTTTTCCTGTAATCCCTTTTATAGCAGACTGCGGAAAGTTTACCGTTTCCAATTCCTTCCGGGAGGTCTCAGTATTTTATCATTTCAATTTGAAATTATTCAAATCCTCGCCCTCGAATACCTGTTCAACAACAACAACAAAACATTCCCGGAATTTTTTTTCGTAATCAACAATTTTCGATTTTTCCGTAGCCTATAATAGCTAGAACAAGCAGTTCAATTTTTGTAAACAATTTTAGTAGAAAAAAATTGACGGGAGCAAAAAAAAAATATTTTTTTTTCGGATTTTGAAAACTCCCAAAGCTGGAGAGCACAAGCTTCAAAGAAATTTGCGAGATTTACCCTATCAGTCTGTCGGGAAAATAATAAGCACAATGTCGCTGCGCCGATTGTGTCGCTGAAGAGAAAAGCAATTTGTTTTTCCGTGTTTTGGTCGAAAATTTGCCAAGAAATTGAGGATTGCAACCGTCTGTCGTGAAAGTAATGGGGATTTGTTAAAGAAAAATGTTTCGCCTCACCAAATCTCCAGCCGTCGCAAAGCTGTGATGGGAGATTTCAAGGTGCGACAAGTCCACATTACTTTTCCGATAGACTAATAAACGCTTCAAAAATCAATTTCATGGCAAATTTCGACCGAAAAATCTCAACGTTTTCTGGTAAGCACGAGCGAAAAATCTGGTCAATGTCTTTGAGAGCTCGAATAAAAATTTTGGCCAAGTTTTATCGAGATCCAAAGGTAATATTTGGGGTATCTCTCCAGCTATAAATGGAAAAAAAATCGTAGGATTTTTCGCAAGTCCATACCATACCTTTTTCCAACCCCCTTGGCTATAGAAAACCCCAATTTTCAATCCTTTTCCTACAGCAACAAGATCATTACACAACATTTTCGTGTAGGATCCGGCGGCCATTCCGCCGAAAAGATATGACAATGGAGGCCAAGCATGCTGGTATTTATATGTACAGTCGCCCAATCACAAGTCAGACAAAGGACGTATATGTTCGTGTTGTCGGACAAGGCGGATGTTTAGCCAGCGGGCTTGGCGATTTTTTATGACAAATTTCAAGGGGGAAGTGCCTGTGACTTTATGGACTGTCTTTGACACAAAAAAAAACTCTCAGATTTTGATGAAACTTGTGGCAAATTTAGAAAAATGTTTTCCAAGACATTTTTGAAACTTCCAGCTCGCACTTTGCAGAAAAGACCGAGATTTTTTGGTAGAAAGTTGCAAAAATTTGACATTTTTTTGCGAATTTTAACATGAAAAGTTGCATGCCTATTTCTACTGTAGTGAATAATGTCTCCACAAAAAATCAAATTTTTCCGCACGAAACTGGCAAAGATACGGCCAAAAATTGTTTTCTCTTTTTCTCTGGCCGCTCTCCGCGTTTCGCGTACTCTCTCGGCCGCAAAGATGGTTATATCTCGGCTGTTCTTGGAAAGCGCGAGCCAAAATTTTCATGGTGTGATATGTGTCAAAAATCAGTCAAAATACACGACAATTTGTGCCGACGAGAGAGTGCGCAAAATGCGGAGAGCGGTCAGAAAGAAAAACATTTTTTGGCCGTATCTATGCCAATTTTGCATGGAAAAATTTTATTTTTCGTGGAAATGTCGCCCACTCCTGTGGAAATTTTCATGGATTTATATGCGGTCAAGCCATGACAAAAGACTGTATGAAATTTTAAAAAAAAGAGATTTACAGTAAGGTCGGCGTTACGACTTTTCGGGTCAGCGACAGTTCGGGTCAACGATACTATAGATCGCGCTGATTCGTGTTTGTATGCATTAGAGAGGATAAGAGAGGCTTAGTTAGTCGAAATAATAAGATTGACCGGGTCCCAGGATAGCTTATCATCTATTTTGAGGTACTGTATTTTACATGTACTCACATCAATAATATCTGGATAAAAGTTACGGATCATCGTTTTTTGCCGTAAATTTTAGTCTTTTATATACTACATTAACACAGGGTAAAGAAGACTAACATTAGTACTAGCTAAAATTAGAAAAGTGGACATATTGCAAGCCTTCGCCGAGTCTCCGCCGAGTCTTCGCCGAGCGTCCGCCGACCATCCAACGGGCTTGTCAGGCCTCGTAGGCACTTCCTACAACTTTTTTTTGGGTATCCACCTACCATACGCTCCGGATCGGTCGATTTTGTGTTGACCCGAAAAGTCGGGACGCGGCAAGATCAGGAGCAATTTTCATTCGAATTCTGATGAAGAAACACTAAGAAAGTTTGCTTTTTCTGTCACAAAGTGAGTTGTTATAGCGAGCCTGTTGGCTAGAGGTCTGTTTTGGACCCAGGAATTCCGAAAAAATTTGTTACAGAGCGCTTGTTCGAACGGATGTTTCTCCAGCTGTTTTGTACGAGTAGACCGTCAGAAACCCTTCGAATATTTGTCGTTTCTCCCACATTATGTGGTCAGTGCCTCTTAAAACACAACATCGGATTTGCGAAATATATTAATCGCGTCAAAAAATGTATTCTAGAAGGATCATGAACAGCATCAACTTTTTGACCTTTTTGGTCAGAAACTTCAAATTTATGTAAACAGACGCTTAGGAAAGCTCACGGAGGATCGAATAGGAGTGAAAGAGCAATTTCGGGGCCACATCGAAGTGATTGAGGTTCACTTTTAATTAAAATTTTGACATCTGTTATATTACACTTGACAAAAATTGAATTTTAAATGGTCAATAAAGGTCAATCTGCTTTAAAGAAGTTTTTTCTAGACTATTTTCCTTCCTCTTCTCTATCCAAATCAAAAAAACCAAAAATTGAAGCAAAAATTATATTACACTAGGCATCAGATCTCATATTTCGCCTATTACAATATCAAAACCCCCTCCGTTATGATAAAAATTGACAGAAAATGCTCTATACCCACCAACAAAACGTCCGCATCCCTCTAATTTCAGGTTTATTGAAGCTGATAACCAATAACAAGATCTCGCGGACAAGACCGTAACAATGACGATGGTTAAATATAACAGTGAAGACCTAAAAAGGAGGATCCTAGAGAAAATATTCGTGGAATTGGGAGTTTAATTCTTGGAGACAAAGTCGCGGATTTGCGAAAGGAGACCAACATATTTTTGATGTTCATAGTGAGTGGCGAATTGGACCAAATTACGGCAGAACTCGGCGTCAATACCGCGCTCTTCCAGGTACCGGACGAAGAGGACATCATGGAGGTTCTGAAATAGTATACCTTAGAATCGAACCCAAGAAGACCTAAACTTTGAACAGAAAACATGTTACCCATGTTGAAAAACTTACAGGATCAATGTATTTGCCGCTGGACGCATAGACCTCATCCGCAACATCCTCATTTCCGTCCTTGGCAGCTGGAGCAACGTAGAATTCCTCCACACGGAAATCAAATTGGTCTTCATCTCCAGTTTCAACAAGAATCATGTTGAAGCAGAGACGTTGAGATCCCTTGGTAATTTCAACACTGAATGGGGGAAGGGCAACTGGGGTTGGAGCTAAAATTCGAAAAATAGATTCTTTTCTAACCACTGAAGCAATAAAAAAGACAGCTTGCTCAAAAGCAATCGACTAATTCGCACAGGAACTTTTTGGAGCAAGTGTAATATCGGAAAAGGCTCAAACTCGATGTAGCAAAAAGTTATGAGTAAAATATTTTTCCCAGACTAAGAGTATGCTAGGATCTCGCTCTCAACAAATTTTCGGCTAACAATTATTAACTTCTCCATCAAACGCTTCCTCAAACTTCACCTAAACTTCAAGAACAATATAAATTTTAAAACTCTTACCCAAATCCGAGTTTGGATCGTCTTCTTCGACATCGACAGAGTGATTCACGTTGAACACGACCAGAATTTCTTCAGGTCCATGCTTCTTCGTCAATCTGACTTCAGCGTCTTTGGTTTTGAGCTGGAAGCCAGGGACGGTTGGCTGAGCCGCGCCTCCCAAATTCTCATTCTCCAACCGTTTCTCGGCCTCGATCTCCTCGTTCAAGCGCTGAGTCAGGTCCTTGGTGACGGAGGACTCGTTCGATGAGAAGCGGACGGCTTGACGAAGAGCGGGACGAACGGCCGCCAAGCGCAAACTGGACCCAGCCAAACGAGCGACGGCGCGCGAAAGTTGCATGGATTTCATGGCTACAAGCTGAAAACCGGAATTTTTCATAATCAGTTGTCCATTCCTTGACAAAACACGTTACGAAACGCGTAAATTTCCCTCTTCTCGGCATATTTTTTCGCGTAGATAATATAACAAGATAGTGCAAAAAACAAAATTGAAAATTATTTATGTGAACTCTGCGAAATTCGAAGACCATCTTCCGAAAGAATCTCTATCGACAATCTTCCAGAAAGATCTATAGCGTTAACATTTCAAAAAACATCTATTTTCGGCGAAAAATAAGTTGAACATAAAAATTTCAATGTTATTCTTCAAAAATCTATCGAAAAATATTCAGTTTTACTATCAAGAACCTCTGAAACAACGAAATTTAGGCCGAGAAAGGCCCATTTCGTCAGGCTTGGCCAAAATCCCAACTTTTTTTCTGTGACACTTCGTGGAATTATCGATTTTGACGAAATGCCACAAATTGATTAGAAATCCAAAAAGTTGCATTTTTTTAGGGAAGTGCAAATTTCTCGGCCAAAACAAATTCCAAACTGTTTTTTAGACCATAATTTATTTGAAGAATCACCGAGGCTATCTATTTATACGTTCTATCACAAAAATTGCGACAATTTTTATCTTTTCCATGTCTGCCAAAGCAATTGTTATTTGCTCTTCATTTCCTTTGGTGTTTTGCCTTCAGAGTCGTCTTCAGCGCGGATCTCGTCCTCTTCCTTCGACACTTTTGCGTATTTGCTCTCTTTGGTGTAGCCTTGGCCGTCGCTCGACATTTCCTTGCTGTCCTTGCTGTTCTCCTTGCTGTTGCCTTCCTTGCCAGTGTCCTTGCTGCTCGGCCGAGCTGAGGAGGCGGTGCGGGTTCTATGGCTCGATGGGACACGGCTTCTGGGAACAGTTCGCATTCCGCTTTTTCGGCTGGTGCGTCTGTTTGAGGATCTGCGAGGGGAATCCTCTTCCGAGGAACCTCTTCTTTTGCCGGACCGATAATTTTCTGTACGTTCTTCTCGAAGCAGGGTCTCTTTGTCAGCCTGAAATTAAATCCGGATTCCAGCATAAGTTGGGCTCAGAAATGACCAATTTTTGAAGGGAATTTGGCTACCCTTCATTTGAGGCCGATTTCATTTGGGGCATATCGGATAATGGCCCAATATGTATAGCCAATGTTGCAAAATTCTTTGACCAGTCAGCCAATGAGGTGAAATCACAACCAAATTTTTTTAATGGCTAGCGAAAACCTGGATCGGCTATCCAAAGTGTCAGAATAGCTTTGAAATCTCGAAAAAAATTTGCCAAAGGATTGGAATAGGTCTCAAAGAGTGAGAAAAATCCTTTTTGGCCAGCTTTTTTCGAGATTTCAAAGCCATTTTGACACTTTGGCTAGCCGAATCAAGCTTTTTCGCTAGCCATTGAAAAATTTAGATATGATTTGACCTCATTGGCTGACTGGTCAAAGAATTTTGCAACATTGGCTATACATATTGGCCCATTACCCGATCTGCCCCAAATGAAATCTGCTCCAAATGAAGGGTAGCCGAATTCCCTTCAAAAATTGGTCATTTCTGAGCTCAACTTATATTCTCCTTGCTCACCGTTAGGATAGCCGTTCTTTTCACGCCTTTGATCTTATTGACAGCCAACTCTCTCACCTCCGGGAATGCATCCATCTCACTCTCGATGTAATTGAACAGAATGACGACAATTTTGTCGAAAAGGATTCGTCTTTCCGGCTCTTTCACCCTGAACACCTTATTTTAGAGGCTAAATTAATGTTTGCTCAAAACTTTGTCAAAGATTCATGTCATACTACTCGGAATCACTGTAACAACGAAGAAGAGCCTACCAAATTTCTTCAGAGACCATTTTTTTGATTGGCTCGGGCGTTCGAGCTGGGAAATCGGGCATTTTTGCGGCTCGGATGTTCTTTGCGATGGCTCTGTGGTCTTTCTCGTCAAAAAACGGTGCGTTCCCATGACTGTAAGTCAAATCTATGTTATTATTTGTTTTTCTGCTCATCGTATCAAGTGCATTAAAAGGGCAATTCTTAATCCCCAATACTTTCCTTTTGGGCCTAACACTTTTTGACGTCTGCTGCTCAAATAACCCCTTGTTGTGCAACAAATAGAGGACGTAGTGAGCATTTTATAGTCTAACCGTCAAAATAACACCTTTGATTAAATAAATATCTGTCTTAAACTCTAGCAGAAAGTAGTTTCGATAAAAAATTGGCCAAAAACAGTTGAAACTCATCTAAAACAATATCGTATTGCCAAAATTCCGTAATTTTTGAGACTTCCAACTAGTATATAAACTAGTCACTCGTTCAAAACTTCACAAACAGCCTTCTTACTTGAACAATTCGTACAGCAATGCTCCAAACGACCACACGTCACTATTCACAAGGTACACTGGCGGCTTTCTGATGGTTTCCGGAGCCATCCATCGGAGTGGGATATGTTTTAGGGCCTTCTCTTGCGTCTGAAACTCCTCGGCAACCTTGGAGAGGCCAAAATCGGCAATTTTGATTATTCCTTGCGCCGAGATCAGACAATTTCTGGAAGCCAGGTCTCTGTGAATACACCGTTCCATGTGCAAGTAACGCATTCCTCGAGCGGCCTGAAATTTTCAGCTATAGTAAAGAGATCTATGAACAATATTTTGCCCAAATTTCATCGCTATCCGTAAAGTTTCCGGCATCTTACATCCATTTTTGCCTAAATCAATATAAATTTTGTATAAAGCAAAATAATTTTTGGCTCAAATTTTAAATTCTTGATTCCTTTCCCCTCCAAAAACTTTTATTCTTACCTCAAAAGCGTACAACGTCAGTTCCACATTGCAAATATAGGTCCGCTTTTTAATATGATCCTCCAAAGCTCCTCCGGGACAAAACTCCAAGGCGATCTTGATCGGTGGATGGTCACACGCGATCCCCATTAGCTCAACAACGTTCTCATGTGAGTAGTTGGACATGATTTTGGCTTCATATAACATGGATTGGCAGGCTTCATGGATCTCTTGGCGATTTGTCATATCATCCGAAGGGTGGCATACCTTGATAGCTACCTGAAAAATAACCGCAATTTTGTTATAAAAATGTCCTACAGGTCCTATCATAACAGTACTAGCAATAAAAGAGCCGTATCGACTCGAAATCAACGAAAATTTGGATTTGGTATCAGATGTCTAAAACAATATAAAATTTCTTTCTAATCTCAAAAATTAGAAGTAAATCCAATTCCATTACATTCTACAAGCTATTAATGTCTTATATCAGTCATTGGAACTATAATCTTCCCCATAATTTACATGACCAAAACTATCTTTCGCATCAAGTACAATATAAAATTCCCTCAATTTTACCTGTCTACAAACTCCATTCCTGGTCATAGTCCCTTTAAATACCGAGCAGAAGTTGCCGGCTCCCAGCAAGTCTTTCTGCGGGTCGTAATTCAGCGCTTGATGACGTAACAACCATTCAGGCCGAGGAATCGGATGTCGCAATTTGGGGCCATGCGGAAGTCCATATATCTTGTAGTGTTCGATCAATTCGGCCACCGTCTCAAATGAGGGGAACTTCTCTTTCTTCCGCTCGAGCCGTAGACAATATTTCCCATCGACTACGTCGAGCAGAAGATTCCAAGGCCCTCGGCTGCCGCGGACGTTCAGAACAAGCTTCGGGAAGCCGCTGTCCATGCTGGCGCGGACCGCAAAATCACCCTTGTACTTGAGCTCAGACCTGGAAAGAGCGGAAATAGCGAAAAGGCTTGAAAAGTTTACAATTTTCGCCTTACCTTATTTTAGGTATACAGCCTAGTATAAGGTCTCAATCTGGCAACAAAGCAGCAATTCCTGCTTCAAAAAGTTTGTGGGACATCTATTTTGCCCTGCTCTATTAGAAAATCACAAATTCCAGCAGAAACATCGGGCATAACCCTATTTTTTAACATCCCCTTACTTGCTACCTAAAGTAATATAAATTCTTCCGTTTTAGAGCAAATTTCGTAACAACTTCGATTAGAAAATGACCTAAAACCATTCCTAAAACCAATTCAGCCCTCTTCCAATCCAATCATCCACAATTTTACCTAAAAATCAACAACAAACAAGAAACATACACAATATCCTCGCGATTCCGAATTCCATGGTAGTAGATTTGATTCTCAAGCTTCTTATCCTCGCTGCTCTTCATCTGTGGTCGGTGGCGCAGAACGAAATAGAGAAACCGACTGCTCTGTTCAATACGGAGTGAAATGACTCAGCATTTCGATGAGTTCCAGATGATGGTGAAGGTCGGAAATTTGCATAATTTTGCGGATTTTTGATGGGCAAGTTCGATCTTCTTGATGCAAAAATCAGTTTTTGACTTTCTTGGAGGTAAAATTCGGATATTTTTCTCAATTTTGCAGAATGCCACACGATTTTTTGACAGAAAATCGTGTCAAGGTTTGATCAAAGTGATAGAATTCAAGTCAAAATCAAATTGCTGGACCTTGAAGGTCGATAATAATTGCTATTTCATGTAAAACCTCTCTTTTTCGTTAAATACGACATTGTTTTCCTTATTTTCACTTGTCGGAATCGAACTCGCGACTAATCAGACTGTTGCTTGATTTGCCAGATCGGACGATATGCCGTTTATCCATTCGGCTATTCGGGAAACAGAGGAGAGGCAGTAAAGAGAGAGCGCAAAAGAGCAAGCGGGATGAAGAGAAGACAGAGAAATTTTTGGTGTTACCCCATTTTAAAAGTTCTGGAGGATTCTCATGAAAGGAATAGGACACAACCTTGCGTTGCTATATTTAGCCCAATTTGAGGTTAGTTCTAGCTTCAGCCCATGCAAATGTGGCTGTAAGGAAATTTTTGGATTGTCTGGCGTTACGCGGGACTAATATTGAATGAGAAACAGCGAAATTTTTGGATTCTTTCAGTGTGTTTATTGGGGACTTCTGACATAATCGACCGGCATTCGAGCTGGCAATGGTGCCGTGATTTGCTTTGGGTCTTGAATTTTTTCTGGAAAGCCCCCTAATATCAAATAACAGGTATTCGTTGCCATTCAACAACATTTTGAAAGCGGTATTGTTCCACGCAGCCCTCATTTGTAATATTTGCTTGCATACCGATGAAAAAAAAATAAAAATATTATTAAATACGGGATCAAAGCGCTCTTTGAACATCAAAAAGATCCGTTTTGTCTGGAGTTAATGTAAAGGACAATATAACTGATGATATTAGCCTCAGTTCATCTAAATAAAGCGATGTATGTCACTGGGCTAATAAAAACGGTCTAATAATAGGCTATAAATGGCAAAAGTTGCCGATAAAAACACTTGCTTCACGCTATTTTGCGGAATATTACTTTAGTCATCATGGAAAACAGGTTTCTTTTACTCTTCCTATTAATTTCCATCACTACTGGTCTGGAATTGGTATGGGAGGACAACTTCGACACCTTCGATTATTCGAAATGGGGTTTCGACCAGGGTGGAAATGGCTGGGGAAATAAGGAATTGGAGTATTATACGAATAGGACGGAGAATGCGCGAGTTGAAAATGGAAATTTGGTGATTGAAGTGCACCGTGAGGACTTTTTGAACCGAAGTTTTACTTCGGCAAGACTTACGAGTAAATTCAATTTCAAGTAAGCCGTTTTTTAGCTAACTTTCCCCTACCAAGTCACAAAACATCAGCCCAAACACTTGCAGGGCTTTCCAAAATTTCCATTTCAGCCACAATTTCTTGAGCTGAAGCTAGGACTAACCTCAAGTTAGGCTATATATAGCAACTAACCTAATCTTCCAAGATCCTTCAAGGAGATCCTCAGGAACTTATAAAATGGGGTAGCACAAAAATTTTCTCTGTCTTCTTTTCGCCACTCTCTTTTTCGCGCTCTCTCTTACTTCCTCTTCTCTTTCCCGAATAGCCGATTGGAAGAAGGGCATGTCGTCCGATCTGGCAAGTTAAGCAACGCGCTTGACTAGTTGCGAGTTCGAATCCGACCCAATAGATATTAGTAAAATAAGTGTTATGCGTGCGTAAAACACTAGGAAAGCGTGTAAAAATAGTGGCTAAAGTAAAAAAAGATATTTCAGCCGAAATTTTTTTTAACATAAAGTGCATTTTTCGAGATTTTCCAAAGTTTTTTGTCAAAATCAATCGATTTTCATTTCAGATATGGTGTGTTTGAGGCCCGAATCAAGCTCCCAAACATGACCAACGGTTTATGGCCGGCGTTCTGGATGAAAGGCTCGGAACGTCCGGATTGGCCCGCTCGAGGCGAGATCGACATTTTCGAGGCGGGTTCGGCGAGCGCAATTCACGGTGGGCGCGCGAATTTTCGATTTGATTGCAACTTTCATTGGGCCGTAGATGGCCATCATACTTCACACGGCCAACCTTATTACCCAAAAATTGACATGAGTTTGGATTTTAATGTCTGGAGAGTCGAATGGAACAATACCGCTTTCAAAATGTTGTTCAATAACAAGGAATACATGTGGTTTGACATCGGCGGGCTTCCGACATTCCAGAAAAATTTCTTCTTCCTTTTGAACGTTGCGGTTGGCGGAACTTATCCCAATATTCAAGACCCAAACCAAATCACGGCACCATTGCCAGCTCGAATGCTGGTCGATTATGTCAGAGTTTACCAATAAAGAGATTCAAACAACCACCAAATCATACCATTCTTTCAATATTAGTCCAGCGTCGCCAGACAATACAAAAATTACCTTACAGCCACACTTGCATGGGCTGAAGCTAGAACCAACCTCAAATAGGGCTAAATTTAGCAACGGAACGCTGAATCCTATGCCTTTCATGGAAATCCTCAAGAAGTTTTAAAATGGGGTAAAACCAAAAATTTCTCTGTCTTCTCTTCGCCTCCCTCGGTTTTTCGCGCTCTCTCCTTGCTTCTTTTCCTCTCTATCCCGAATAGCGGATTGGAAGAATGGCATGTAGTCCGATCTGGCAACTCAAGCAACAGTCTGATCAGTCGCGGGTTCGATTCCGACAAATGAAAATAAGGAAAACAATGAAAATCTATCTCGTATTTTACAAAAAAATATATTTTTTCAATAGAATAAACTTTTCCTTTATGAATTTTTACTATTGTGGCCGGAACAGCCGTATTTTCTACTACTTTATCCAAGTTGAGCTCTCGCTCCCACCAGCTTTCATCGTATAAAACGTCGCATCATAATTTTTTTCCGTCTCTCGGGAAGTGCTCTCTTTTGTCGTGCTAAACAAATTCCCAACTGATATCCTGCATGTTCTTGTGAAAATTTTTTATCAGAAAGCATTGTTATTGATCTTGCAATTGTTATCAATCTTGCGGTAAGTGTTTCTCATGTGAATTTCATCTAAAACAAGATAATTTATTTCGTTAGGTGGAGCACAAGGTAAACTGTTTTGATTTCTCGGTCCATTTCGGGTTTGTTTTGCTAATTAGACACTGTTTTTTTTATTTTAGAGATCATTCTGTATTGAACATGCTTGGAAATGTTTGGGATCGATTGGAGAACGTGAAACGGACGCTCAAGAGTCTGGATCCGCACCTCCTCCTCTCCTTCATTTTTCACATTTTTGGTGTTGCCTTTCTGAGCTTCTTCACACCACTTTTCATTCGGTTTTTGTTCGCCTACAATGTTGTTGACCAAACCGAACCACTGGACTTTGTTTTTGAGACGTGTACGAAGGAGTATTATGGAGTATGCTCGTTTCCGGAAGCACGATTAAGCTTGGCCGAAGTAAGTGTTTTTCTTGTTTTCTTTGTTTTGTTTTTAGATTCGGTCAGTTTGAGCTTTTTTCGCTGATTCATCTCTATGTTATGGATAAGGTTGGAAAAATGAATGTTTTATAAAAACTAGTGGCTGAAACTTTACGAAACTTGGAAAATAGCGAGAATATGTGTTACATGAGCTAACAGAAATATAATTTCAGAAGGATATTCGTTTTTCTGCCGGCTCTGCATATTGGTTTACATTGGACTTGGAGCTCATCGAAACCGACAGTTTACTCGATAGCAGGGTGTTCCTGACTCAAGTTGAGATTAAAGACCACGAGCAGAAGACTCTGAGTACCGCTCAGCGCACTGTTAATCTTCAATACTCCTTTTTCTACCGATGGTTTATCAGAGTAAGTAATTTTGTTATTAGTTTATGTGTTTAGATCCGGAATCTGATGTTTTTCCCACTCTACTTGATTGGAATGCTCTCTTCCTCATCGCCAACCGAATTTCACATTCATTTCCCGAAGCCATTTCAGTCCAGATTGAATGAAACTGCAGCATTTTTGGTAGTTCAGATTCAAAATCGGCTTGCTCAGGTGGGCAGTGTAATATAGCTGATATTTCGGGCCATTTCGAGAATATTTGTTCGAAATTCGGCTTGTGGAAAGTTGATAACCTCTAGTGTAATATAGCAAAAGCTTTTGTTTTCAGGTCAAATGGGCCGAGCTGCACATCGAAGCCAATACATCTTACTTTACCTACTTCCTGCATTATTATCCATTCATTTCCTTCGCATTCCTGGCCATGATCTCCGCGACAATCTTCTCAATTCTCATGGGACTGTACTGGACAAAAGTTGGCTTTGAAGTTTATAGCGAAGCTTCAAAAGTGGAGCCAGAGGATCCACATTTCTCAAAGCCTCTAAATATCAAGAAGAAATTGGGATACGATGAAAACTATGAATTTGACGGTCGAAAATTGCAAGAAAAGATCCGGGATCTGCGGCCTGATGACATTCCCGAATGTCCCCAGCTGAATGGCGTCTTCGGTTGGGATGTGAAGCCGACTGGCGGACAGAAAATTGGATTCGATGAGAATTAGTCCAGATTTCGGGTCAAAAATCGAAATTTTCGGCTCAAAATCGAAAGTTTTGCCAGATATTTGTCACAATTTAGATGATGAGGAATAGTTTAGAGTTTTTTTTGTTATATCATTGCTATTTATTTTGATTATATCAAATATTTTTTTGAGATTTTTGAAGTTTTCCACAATTTTTCGATATTTTTTCAATTTTTGCCAAAAAATATTCATATTCCCTGTGATTCCAGATTCTTTTTGTGATTTCCCGGGTTGTAGATCAACGTACTTATCAGATGTTTGCAGAAACGGGCGTTTTATTTTATTATCTTACCATATTTTTTATCAGATCTGACCATTTCCCAGTATTTTGATGTCTAATCGATAAAATAAACTTGTTTTCATGTTTTTTATACTAAATTCTCTGTTTTTACACGTAATACAACGTGTTTCATATTTGTTGACGATGTTTTGAGTTGATTTTTAAGACTTTTTAGGTCTTTTTCCTCCGAAAAACGGGTTCCAACCAAAAAAATTCCGTCGATTTTTCGTGGACCTCCTTTCAAGTTTGTGGATCTGGTCATGTGGTGCACGTAGACGCATATGGACACAAATTTCCTCCGCTCGGCCAAGCTGTTGTGTCCCGGATTTTGCGGTCGAGTCCTTGTGAATGCGTCCCGCTCCCCCAACGAATACTCGGAATGCCAGGCCTGTCCATGGGGTGAGTTTAGAACACCGTAAATTTGTTGTTTTTGAGCAGTAGGACTGACTGAAGCGTTTAGGATAGCTTGATGTTACAATAAAGAGAAATTTGAATACCGCAGCCTGCGCCCAGGCTTGATTCCGAAAACAGCTGAATTTGAAAAGGAAATGGCAGAAAGAGAGGAATAGAGTGGAGGACCTGATCCAGTGGCAAAAAACATACCATTTTGCATCCGGGAAGTATCAAAAATGTGGCAAAATGCTTCCCTCTCCAAGTTAAAAAAAAACTCCGATTTCAAAAGCGCGTAAGCTCTTTTTGTGAGGGAAAGGCACTTCAAAACGAAGGTTTTTCACTTGGAGAGGGAAGCATTTTGCCATATTTTTGATATGATAATTCCCGAATACTAAATGGTGCGTTTTTTTTGCCACGGGATCAGGTCCACTGTACGTCAAATCGAAACTAAATAATGTTCAAAAAAGGGCGTGCTACCACTCAAAACTCCCAACCTCTTTTCAGGTATTTCTCCGCCAATAATGCACCAATTTCTATAAAATTTATATCATATTAAAGCTGAGACACCCCATTTCTTGCCCACCAAATATGGCCCGTCTAAGTTCATGGAGGCACCTGTTCTGACCTTTAACATTTTCATTCCAAATTTTGGAGCCCGAAATCGGTGAAACAGAAAATTTTTGCAATGATTTCGGGCTCCAAAATTTGGAATGAAAATGTCTAAAGTCAGTACGGTGCCTCCGTGAACTTAGACGGGCCATATTTGGTGGACAAGAGATGGGATGTCTCAGCTTTAATGTGATATAAATTTTATAGAAAGTGATGCATTATCGCCGAAGAAATGCCTGAAAAGAGGTTGGGAGTTTTGAATGGCTTACCCTGTATAGATTCTAAACTGTTTTTTGCAAGTAAATTTCGTCTCTTGACAAGTTTCATAGACGGCAGCCTGCGCCCGGGCCAATTTCCAAAATCGATGATAGGACAAATTAATGGGTGTAGAGCGATGGCGGATAGTGAGAATAGAGTCAAAAATAGATTTTTCATCGATTTATTATTTACTCTTGTTTACGTTCAGGCACTCGCGCCCTGGACAGCTACGATTGCCGGCCCTGCCATAATCAGCTCACTTCCTACGACTACTCATACCTGGTCTTTCACGCCGTCACGCCGCTCTTTGTCAACACGATCTTCATTCGCCTCTATTCGAAGACCATCCAGAATCGGAGCAAGCGCAGCCGAGAGACGTAGGTCCCACAACGAAAGTTTGGCATTCTGAAAAATTGCGTGGATTAGCATAGAAAGTGGATTTGAAGGCCGTAAAAAGATGAGATTTTGATTTCAGACCCTTCTTCTGGCAGTTGTTGCAAATCCTCTGCGCCTTGCTCGAGTCCACCCTTGCCCTTCTCTTCTCATTCCTGGCCTTCGAGCCGTACGGACATTTGAAACTGAATGGATGTCGAAAAGGACGAATTTCCGAGTGGTACCCCTTTCTGTACAATCCGATCGTCGACAATGGCCTAGTCTTGAAATGCTCATCCGAAGTTGTTTATCCTTTGTGAGTTATATTACTTTAGATATTAGTAGGTGTGGGTCCTAACACGAAAACTTGAAAATGTTAGAAATGAAAGGAAATAGACTTTAAATGAGATTTTAGGGCTTTTTGGCCTACTTTGACGCCATCTTGATAGGTAATGATGGCTATATTGCTTTAGTTTATCCTTGAGTTTTAGTCCCACCACGAAAACGTGAAAGGATTGGGAAAGAAGGAAATTTTATCTCTGTCAGATTTTATAGGCTTTATGCAAAATTTGAAAGCAGTTTTGAGTGGTATTCATATCTGGTTTTTTCCAGATTTAGCATTTTTTACAAAATTTTTGCTTTTTTCCAAATAATTTTTTGGTTTTTTCAGATATTCCTTACCGTTTCTAATATACATCATCAGCTTGCTGAATCTGATTGTCTTCCGGAGTATTCTGCATGGTATTGCGCAGCGATGTCGCCGTTCGATTTCCGCAGCGCCATTTTACGCTCAACTTTGGACCTTGCCCATTATGGGATTAATTAACGGGGTTATGGTAAGATTTGTTACCCAATTTTTTTGTCGCCAACATAGATTAGAGCTTGATAGAGAATATCTGAGAGTATTATGGTTTTATTATTTTAGTCCGGCCTACTGTACTACAGTTTTGCTCACCTCACGGTTTTCGCGGCGTTGGTTTCAAATGCCGTCCATTTGGCCACGGAAGGAAGAAAAGGAATCTTGGCCCTGTTAAAGACACTCCTAACGTCTTCAGAGAGGCTGTTGATAGTCATTGTTGATATAGGTATATTTGGTTTCGGAGTATTCGCCCTTTATTTCCAACCCCCACCAACAACTTGGCAGGCCTGGCTTGGGTTCGCTGTGACATTGCCATTGCCCCTGGTCTTCTATTGCATCACTGTTCGTCTAACGGAGCCTTCGAAGCCCAGAATCCGAAGATAGACGGCGTTTTATGGCCATTAAAAACGGTTTATATGAACCTAGATCATGGATAATATATGGATATCAAAATTCCCCGATTTTCGAGGAAGTCTATGGGTATTTGTAAACAGAGTGACGTATTATGAAAGTTTATTGGATATTGGATTAGTTTTGCGCATTTTTTATTATGTATTTTAGTCTTTTCTCGAGATTTTTCATCAGATTTTTCACATTTCTATTGATCTCACCCCAAAAATTCCGGATTTTCTACCCGAAAATTGTGCGAAATAACAAAAAAATCAATAAATATTTACTGTACAAACGGTTTACCATTAATTTTGAAGGATAATATTCGAATTCCCAAAAATATTTTAAAAATTTGAATATGCAAATTTTTAAAAATTAACGCAAAAATTTTAGTACCTCACCGCGAATGCTGGGCCATCATGCTGTATATAGCTTGTTGATTGTTTCGGCCGCACATATCGGCCCAGTGGTTTCGTCCGCCGGCGATGGCTCACCGTATTTTAGGGAGTGTCAGCAGGAATGCGTGGACAAATTTGACTGCCCGATGAGTGATGTCGCCTTCGGATGGACGCAGAAATTGTGTTTTGAGTAGGTTTTGGACAGATTTGAGGAAGTTTTGGGAAGAGATTTGATAAAATTTCGAAGAAATGGAAATTAAATTTTTTTGTAAATGTTTTTTGAGGGAAATAAATAAAAAAATTTTAAATTTATGGTAAAATACGGAAGCACATCTAGTTTCAAAAAATCTCCTTACTTACCCGTCATAGGATGAGTGGAAGTTTCCAAATTGAAATTTCACTTTTTCTGTGAAGTACAAAAGTGGGGGGCAATTAGCGAAAAGTAAAATACGGTCTAATTCCATCAGTTGTTGGATGATGTAAAAAGCTGTTTAAAAAGTAGAAACCCATCTTTTTTGAGTAAAATGGGCCAAAATCACAAAAAAATTGGCGAAAAAATCAATTTGATATGGGTTACAGAGGGTTTGTTTCACGTACAAAAAAGCACTAACTAGAGTTGGCGAAGCCGGATAAAAAGCAGAGAGGTGTGAGAAAAAGAAAAGTGGTAACGAGAGTGACCTTTCTTCTTGTTTTCGAGGTGACTTTTCATGTCTAAAATCAGGGTGCGCCGGATCACGTTGGCCATACAACGATACAGCGATAGAATTGGCTAAGAATTCGACTGATCATTCGAGACTTCCCGGAAAATAGTCAAAATAGACGGAAGTCAAAATAGAGGAAATGATCAGTCGATTTCTTGGCCAATTCTATCGCTGAATTGTTGTATGGCCAACTTGATCCGGCACACCCTTGATTTTGGACGTAAAAAGTCACCGCGAAAACAAAAAGAGAGGTCACTCTAGTTACCACTTCTCTTTTTCTCACGCCCTCTCCACTTTTTATCAGGTTTCGCTAACTCTGGTTAGTGCTTTTTTGTACATGAAACAATCCTCTGTAACTCATATCAAATTGATTTTTTCGCCAATTTTTTGTGATTTTTGGCCCATTTTACTCAAAAAATATGGGTTTCTACTTTTTAACCAGCTTTTTACATCACCCAAGAAGTAATGGCGCTGAAGACCGTATTTTACCCTCATCCACTATTTCTTTTGGAACGTGAACCGACCCCTAGAACACTTGTCTTGTTAGATTTGATGGTGTAAAGATCGCTTGAATATTTTGGGCTTCAAAATTTTCCGATTTTTAGCTGCCGTCAATCCTGTATCTGGTCGACCGTCGAGCTCTTCAAAAAGCACGGTCAGCCCACAACACAATTCTTTGGCAAATGGCCATTCCACTCAATATCGCTCCAATTCCTCCAGTATTCAATAGTAATCCAGGAACCGGCCTCGGCGTTCTTCTCTGTGCTCAACCTTTCCGGCTGTCTCTACATGTATAATATGATCAAAAACATGTCAAAAAGAGCGCCATTACGATCGATTTGGCTGGCTTATGCAAGTTTGGGAGTAGCCACATGGATTTGTAGTACGATTTTCCATTGCCGGGACTTTTGGCTGACGGAATATTTGGATTATTTCGCGGCGGCAGCCATCGTTTTTTACGCCTTTTTTGTATCGATTATGTTCACAATGCAAGTCTTTTGGAGGGTCAAAGTATTGTGAGTTTATTCTACTAATGATTGAGGATTATTTTGCGCGAAAAATAGAAGAAATGAAGTGTTTGTGGGCAGTGCAATATAAATTTTTTGTCATCATACCTTGTACAATATAAATTTTGCTCGGAACTCGAAATATTTTGACTGAAACATGTTATAGTATGTTCGGCGCTCTCTTAAATTAATTTTTTCAGAAGGTACACGCTTATCGTCGCCGTTCTCTACTCGTATTATCGATTTGTCAGCTATTTATTCCTCCGGCCACGGTTTGATTACGGGTTTAATATGCGAGTTTGTTTGGGATTGTCGTTCACCACAGCGGCAATTTATTTGCTCTACATTTATAATGAATAGTAAGTTTGGGTCACGGAAATTTTTTCAGCAAAAAATCGAAGAGCTGTACTCATCTCCCCAATTTTAGTCAGCAGCATCGATTCCGCCCATCTTTGAAGATATTACTCTACATTTTACTGATCGGCCTGCTCTCCTCATCGCTGGAAATTCTCGATTTCCCCCCAATACTCTACTCACAAATCGACGCCCACGCCCTCTTCCATCTGGCCACTGTACCCACCCCCTTCATGCTGGCCAAATTTGCGGTCTCCGAATATGAATGGCAAACGGAAAATTCGAATTTAAACAGTTTAAATTTGAATTTCCGGACAAAACAATTGTGATTTTTTATTTAGTAATTAGCCTACGGTAGTCTATATAATATTTTGTAGCGTATTTTGGATAGTATAACAAGTATTTAACATCTCAAAGATAAGAAATAGTCATTTTATAGCCTAATTTAGTTATTATCGAGCTTTTCCTTCGAAAAAAAAGTATGTAAAAAAGTCACTAAACCTCTAAAAATGAAACACGATAGCATTAACAGCACCTAGTCGCCATATCTCACGTATTTAGTAATCAAATCAAGTATTGTGATATTAATTTATGTTGTGCATTATATTGGAATAAATTTTTTTGCATTTTTTTTTGAAGTTTTCCCAATATAAACGATAAAACACAGTCCAAAAATCGTAATGGATCTGTTTATTTCTACAAAATTCAGTTTAAAGTCACCTAATGATGTTCACCATGACCGTGATGCTCACCCTCCTCCAAATGATGCTTGATAAAAGCGTAGTACTCGGGGAACCTCTCTCGATACTTTTCTGGGACAATCGTGTTGTATGCTGTGATCACCAACTTCACGCCCACAAAGAATCCAACAATGGTGAAGATCAATTGGTAAACCTGTCCTTCCGCATAGTAGTCAAATGGATTTTTGCGATATCCCAGCTGAAACAATGTAAACTAACTTCAAAAAGCTCATATAATGTACTCCGCTTCTGTATGGAGCTATAGTGACCCATACACATCAAAGAAATTAATAAAATTCCATCAAAATGCCGCACGAGATATTACCCATCTACCTTGATATAAAACTGCCTCTAAACATGCGAAAACAAAGGTAAAACGCTTACCAATTTGTACCAAATGGTATAAGCCTCCTGTCGGCCAGAATCAAAGAATTTGAAGGGTGGAGGTTGGTTGTTTATACTGTCCCACTTTCCTTGACGGGCTAGACGATTGATGTCTTTGAAAAGTTTCAAATCATCCCGTTTCCTGAAATTTTTGGGTAAATTAACATATAAAGTAACATCGATAAGAACATACGGCCTCTATAAAACGATTTTCAAGATGTTCTGCGCCTAAAAATCAAATAAACTAACGGAATATTAACTTACTCCAATCTCGAGACGAATCGAACCTGTTGCAGAGGCCGAAGAGCAACTCTTCGGGCAAAATTTGCCCCGGACATCCTGAAAACAATAATTCACTTGGTATTCGACAACTTTAGACGATAATCTTCATCAAAACACGACTCGAAAATTATTCTCGCAAAAATAAAAAGACCCGATAAATCTTCTGACACTTGGCAACTTTTGTGACATTTCGTTCGAAAGGAAAAAATCACGGAAGAATTCGAGAAATTAGGAAACTGTTGACAATCTTGACGCCTGCCGCTGGTTTCGATAAGAATTACACATTTCTCGCATGCTGACAATAGAATTTGAAGAATTTTTGAGATATTAGCGTTAAATTTTCGAAAATTTGACGGTTTTAACGAGAAAAATTTGTGATAGAAGTGATAAACGAGGTCCATTAGACGCTAAATTGTCCGACACGAGTTGCGTGAGGCATTTGAGGTATTCGGTGCTGAATCAGAGTTATTACAAGGTCATTGAGATCAAAATTTTCGGTAATAACGACGTTTTTGGCGAATAAGGTCAATTAGGCATGTTTAATGGGTGTTTAGGTAGGAAATTTTTGTTGAAAAATATTACTCATGCCTTTACAAGAAATATGAAATCTATTTCTCAAAGGAATTCAAAGATTTTTTCACTAAAATCACCTGTTTCCCCAGATTTGATCGGATTTTAGAGCGCACGTTCGAACAAGTGTAATTTATGCAAATTTTGCCCGTTTCGCAGCAATGATCCCTTCCGCATTTGTTTGCACAACGTCTTGGGAGTGTTATGCCTTTTGTTCCGACTCTTTGTGACAAGTGGAAGTTTCGGTTTTGGCGCCTTTTCCCGATGTTATCCTTGAAACTAGCGGGGGAACCTTAATTTCCCCCGTTGCGGCGGTTCATCCGGCGGAAGTTGACGATAATTTTGATAAACAAGAAGAGGAGGGCCTAAATATTGTAATAAAACACCGATCCACTTGTTCTACCCCTTCAAACAATACACATCGCCAAGTCTGAGAGATAATAGAGCGATTTTCTGGACCTGATGGCCTTTTTTGGACCGAAAAAGACCTGCAGGCCCAGCGAATCGCTCCATTATCTCTCAGACTTGGCGATGAGTATTGTTTGGAGGGGTAGGCTGTTGGGTAATGTGGTCAGTCTTGTCTTTGGTTCCTCTCGGGTTGATAAAAACGTGTGAGGTTCGGCGGAAAAAAAACGCGACGAATGTTGTCTTTTCGGGCTGTTTTGTTGAATTTGGTTGCAAAAAAAGAATCTTTCTGGCTTCACCCGGGTCTGGCGCTATTTGTTTTGTCTTGTATTCAGCGAAAAATTATCGAAAATCGCGACTTTTCCACTTTTCTTTTTGATTTTGCCTGTTATCCATCGAATTTTGAGGAATTTTGTCCATTTTTCGTTAAATTTTCTCGATTTTTGAACTTTTTTTGTGATTTTTCATAAATTTTCGAAATTTTCACTCTATATTTCTTTGATTCCTGTTGATTTTTCCGCAATTCCCATATTTTACCCCTAAATTTGACGTCTAACATAAAAATTTTTGCAGTTGATTTCCCCGTCATCCGAAATCAACCCAAATACGGGCAAAAAAATGGTCGAGGAGGAGGAGAACGCCCCGAAACTCCCGCAAAAACCGTCAAAGATCTCGTTTTCGGCCGAAAATTTGGTCGAAGAGCACGCCAATTCCATTTCCACGCGACCCGACGCGGCGAAAAGTTGGCGGTCCGAGGGCGAGAATGTCGGTGGTGTTGGGAAGAGTGGATTGTACAAGAGTCAGTCGAATCCGTTGAGATCGGTATGTTGTTTTAGATGGGTTGATGGATTTTTTAGGATTTGGGGGATTTTCTTGATAATTGGGCTGATTTCTTTGTTCTTTTTGATTGATAAGGCAAAGTGGGGTGTGATATTTAGTTTACTATGATAATTGGGTTTTGTAGACAGTATGAAAATAAGATTTTTTTTTGTTTTTCGGCTAAGATAAGGCGATTTTGCCAAATTTTTGATGTTTTCCCAGTCTAAGAGTTTTAATTCTTGTTTAAAAAGAAGAATTAGATAGTAAAAAGTTATTTGAGAGGATATCTCAGTAGTTGTGACAGTTTGAAGACATAAATTATCAATTTTTTTACTAAAATAAGGTGTTTTTGCCAGATTTTTGATATTTCCCCCAAAATTTTGCTTGAAATTGTCGATAATCAACATGGATTTTGTAGTTTAAAGAATTTCTCGTATTTACTCATCAATCCCGCCGGCCTCCAATACTCAAAACACTGAAAATTTACGACTTTTCGGCCATCTCCCTCCTCTTTTTTATTATCAAGTATAACATACGGAGACGGTAGAATTGTGACGCACAATGTTTTTACTTGTCTGTTATGTAAGTCATTTTCAATTTCAGAGCACGGAGAATCGACGTCAACCGCTTCGGCGCGCCTACAGGTAAGGGTTTTCAAAACAGATTTTGTGCTAAAGTTTAGGTCAGGGTGCGGTCTAAATCAATGTTTATCATTTTCTCTTGCGTCTAAATACCCGATTAGTTACCCACTTCCTCTTTTTTGACAATAATATCAACTCATTTTGGAGTGATAACAACTTTTTCAAAGGGTTTGTTAATTTTGACCTAAATTAATATAATTTTTGTCGCCAACGATTAAATTTTGGCGATTTTAAAGTCTCAACCGCCTCGATGACTCATACGGAGCTGATATGAAGCGGATATAGTAAAGTTTGATCAGATTAGCATGTTATTCATGACCACTGATGGGTCCGCTTCGTTATTTTTATTTGTTTGTTTGTCAAACCCTCCGCTGTGACTCAGCGGCGGCGGGCGTGAATTTGTGGACATTCGGGGGTGTTCTGAAACGTTTTTTGTTTGGAACGCAATTCATTTTTTTTATTGCGATGACCCAAAGCCAGAGGCGATGACTCGGGAAAATTAATGTTTAACGTGCTTTTGTTAGTGGGAAGGGTGTATGGAGTGTGATAAAGTAACGGGTAATGTGAGATGATTTGCGGGGAGAATGAAAAAAAAAATTTTTTCTTGGGGGAAAAGTTATGAGTCTAACCTAAAATAAGGTCGAAAAATTGCTGAATTTTGACAATTTAAAAAGGAAAAGGGAACTAACAGGTCATATATTGCCTGGGTGTTTCAATGGACATCACGGATTGCTAAAAAATGAAAGTTTTTTTGGATGTTTAGCTAATTTTCTGATTTTTTTTGATTTTTTTATTGATTTGACCTTTTTTAGCACTGTAATAAGATCCATAGGGCGTCGTAGACCCTACTGATCTTTTTTATTTTTGAATTCTAATTATTTTCCCTTAAAAAAGTCAAAATTCGACAAAAATCTCCAAAAACGCCTAGTGTAATATAAAAATTTTTCGAATTTGTCCCCAATTTTCTCCAAGCTGAACTAGTGAAGCAGTGAATGACCTCAAAACAAGGGAATTTCGTAATTCCCCCCGATAAAATTATGTTTTACAAGCAAATCCATGTTCCGAACCGTGTGCACCGAAACCCCGCCCACTTTTTTTCTGAAGATTTCGCAAGGTTTTTTTGAGACGCAAGAAGAAGTGATGAAATAAAAAACTGATCCGTAGCTAATATTTGGTAGTAAACGTCGTATTAGTTGAAGGTAATTTGGGTAAAAAGGTTTTGTTGAAATTTTTTGGAGATTTGCATTGATATTTGGAGAAATTTTTGAGAAAAAATGAAGAGAATTGATGACAGAAGATTTTACATGGGTCAAGGAGGAGGTTGAGGGTGTTTTTGATGCTTTTTGGGGTGAAAAGTTAAGAATAATATCGAAAAAATGGAAAAATGACTAAAATAAGGTCGAAAAAGTTGATTTTTTTAATGGAAAGCGATTGTAATATGTTATTTTAGTACTTTTACTGTGATTTTACTGCTAATTAGCGATAAATCACATAGGAATTTATGTGGTATCAGAAAAAATTTGAGTGCAATATCAAAAAAATGAGAAAATAGCTAAAATAAGGTCAAAAAATTGAAAATTTTGAAAAAATTTCAAATTAGGCGTTATTAGTTGTACAGCCTTTTGCCAATATTGTATTGGTATAACGAGTCGGATTTTGTACCAAAAACATTCGAAATTTTGATGTAATATTCAAATTTTGCCTAACAGCGTTGAATTACGTAATCGGACGTTTTAAAAACTGAAATTTGATTTTACAGTACTCTAAAATCAAATGTCGCTCTTCCACATGACCCATAAAGGCTCATCATCCGGTTATATAAATTCCCCGAGCTGTTTTTTTCTTCGAATTTCGATGCGCCTTGTTATCATATTCAAACCGAAAAAACGAGGAAGAAATGCTTTCCTTTCGAAAATTCACTGTCTTTAGAGGCTTTTCGGACTATTGTGAAATTTCTATTCTCTAGCTGCAGGCGTTTTTTGCGTTTTCTGTAAGCTAAAAATGAGTTTCAGACGGCAAAGACATGAAAGGTAAAATTTTGCGGGAATTACTAAATTTTTATTTTACAAGGAAAATACTTCTATGGGGTATGGAGTTACAGGTCGAGACATGTATCAAAACAATCGCAAACTTTTTCTGATTCAGAGTAAGTAAAAATTAGCTGCCTAATTTTGGTTTGTAAGGGCGAAAAAAACCCTCAGAACTTTTCACATCACGCAAGTGCCTTTTTGGCCAAGTTTTTACCAATAAAAGCTTTGTTTTGAGCTAAAGTAAACCCTGGCATCCTGACAAGCCTTAAAATAGCAAATTTGATTAATACTACACCTTAGTTAGTAACAATGCAAAAAAGTGTATTATTAATCAAATTTGATATTTTAAGGCTTGTCAGGATGCCAGGGTTTACTTTAGCTCAAAACAAAACTTTTGAATTGGTGAAAACTTGGCCAAAAGGCGTTTGCGTGGTGTTGCGAGAAAAGTTCTGAGGGTTTTTTCGCCCTTATAAACCATAATTGGGCAGCTAATTTTTACGTATTCTGAATCAGAAAAATTTTGCGATTCTTTTGATATATGGGTCGACCTGTAACTCCATACCCCATAGAAGTACTTTCCTTGTTAAAAATGAGCGAAATATGTAACAAACGATGTGGTAAGGTAAAATACGTGGTGTAAAATTGCTTTCGACATTACTGTAATTCGTAAATTTTTTGCTTGAAAATTCCCGAAAGTACCAAGAAATCCGTTTTTTCAGTATCCGAGAGAAAATTTCCCACGAAACCGCCAAATTCTTCGGTCTCCCAATGCACGAGGATGCGCCGGAAGCCTCGGTGAACTCAGGTCTCAACGAACAAATCTCATCGCAGGAGAATAAATGGAAAAAACGACGATTCCGCCATTTGAAGTCGGCGTACGGCGTTAAAACCGATGAAGTGGTCCAAAAACTGCAAAATAGTAAGTCAGAAACGACCGTATTGGACTCATAACACCATTACGGAGCAATTGAAACACTTATCAAAGGGTGTTTGAGCAGCGGTTCCGCGAGAAACCGCACATTTTCGTTGTAAATCTGGGATGTCGAACAGGACCTCAAACAAACCTTGGGAAACGTTGGGAACGGGTTTCGAAACCCGAAAAAAGGCGTATAATAGCAAGAGCAGTAAAGTAGCATGCTTTCAGTTGATACCACCGACTCGGCCGGCAACCACCTCGACAACCTCAGCGTCTACACGGCCGTGGAGCCCGAGAAGCGGGACTCGGTCGCGAAAATGGCCTACAACGCGGTTCAAAGCATTCTGAATGGGTAAGAATTGGGTGGTTTGGAAAGATTGAAGAGTGTAGATTGTAATATCAGGCAATTTGGAATATAGGGTACTACTTTTCATTTTGAAAAATCGAGATTTTTGGAAAAAAGTGGAGATTTTTTGATTTTTTTTGGAATTGATTGGAAAAGAGTGGCAATTTCGGTTTTAGATAACTGTGAAATTAGTAGGAGGACAATACAGATTTTTGAACGACAGCATATCGAATATTACGTTGATTTTCATATTGAAAATTTGAAATTTTTTCAAAAAAGCGGGGATTTTGGTGATTTTGGAAAATTAATTGAAAAGATGGCCGAACTTTAGATGGATATTGATATTACATTGTTTTTTATATTTTAAATTTCTAGTGGAATCGTATTTTGGGTACATACGACCATGTTTTGTATTGAAATTTTGAGATTTCTTCGAAAAAATCTCAATTTTTGCAAGGTTTTCAAATTTTCAGCGATATGTTCCGCAAGAAACGTCTGCCCACTCTGGCCGAAGAACGAGGCAGCTCAGTGTCGGCCCTAGCTTCCCCAACACCAGCCTACCAACCCATCCGAGAGAGGAATAAGCTCCGAAACAAGCGAAGTTTCCCCTTGATGTCCCATTACCAAATCAACCTACCCTCGGCGTCCGCGCAGCAAGAATCAACCGGTAATTTGGAATTCTTTTAGCTGTATACTCATGCTTTACCGTAGTAAAGCGATTTTCAACCGAGGATCGGCTTGACGGTGCAGTGGGAAAATTGAATTTTTCAGTGGATTTGAGAGTTTTTCGATATTTTTTGGACTGGAAATGATTTTGGAAAGATTTTATACGAGGTTTTGGATGCCCTAAGGCGATATTTTGGTTTGAAATTGTGGAAAATACCAAAAATTAGGCGATTTTGGGTAGAAAAGGGAAATTCAACGGAAATATGAATTAAATATCAAGTTTAACATGGAATCCAGACCACATCTCGACTGCTATCACCATGGTATGTATTGGAGTTATTGCGGAGATACTTCAAGAAATCGTGATTTTTCCTCTTTTTTGGCCTTATTCTTAAAGTTTTTTTGATGGTTCATGGTTGAAATTTGTGGACCCAGTCATTTTTTTCGTTTAGTCTTGTCAAGTAAGCCTGGTTCTTCATTTTTTATCGTGATTTTTTGGTGATTTCAAAAAATTCTTGCCGAAAATAAGGTGTTTTTGATCTCAATCCTTGATTCTTTGACATTCCGGAGCTCGAAATTATAATGTTTGATCGAAACCCCGACGAAATTCGTCCATGTTCAACAATTTTACAACGATTTTACCGCAATTATTACCTAAAATAAGGTCCCAGCCGTCTCTCCCTGAATTTCCCCTCGTTTCTCTCGCCCTCTCCCCGATCTCGGCCCTCTCTCCGCCGACTGGCCACTTTCACGAAAAAACAAAACCGCGTCCGACTCCGCCCCCTTTCTTTCGCGACAAAAAACCGTTTGGCACAAGCCGCGAGCGCGGTTCGCGGGCGCCGAAAAACCGTTTGTCGCGACGAATTCTTGTCGCGCGACAAAAATCCGCAGCCGACTGCGCTTTCGGAGCGCCGGAAAATTATTTCGAATTTATTTTTCGGTCCCGAGAAGCACTCAAAACTTTCGTAAGTTTTTCCCACTTTTATGGTAATTCGAGTAGGTTGTTGGCACAGCGGTTGTACTCTTGGCATTGTACCGAAATTATCGGGGATTCGCGAGAAGGTAATTTGAATTTTTGACTTGATCTTCGGAAGGAATTTGAATATTCTTGGAAAATGATGCCAAGATTTAGAAAATTTTTTGAATTCTCCAAAATTTATGCAAATTTGAGATGCCAAACTAGGCAAATTAGGTGTGGAAGGAAAGTTTGGTGACTGTGGATGAACTTAGATAGTGTTAGAGGCAGCTTATGGTCTGTGTTGAGGGTTCTTTCGGACATTGTTTTAGAGACATCAATATTTTTGATGGAGTTTTGGAAATTGCATGGCATGTCATGATGTCGTATGAAGTGGTAGGTAAATTGGGTATCGTTACGAAGCTTATAGTTCGTAGTATGTAGTGCGATCTGCATTTTTTGATTTCAAGGATTGGCTAGGGGAGAATTTGAGATTTTTAACGAGGTCATCTACTTTTAAAAATTTTCTCAATTTTTTCAATTTTTTTGTGATAGATGTTGTGATTATGGTTTACAATGCTGAAATAAGGTGTATTCTTTTATTTCACAGCCATATTTAGATATTTTGAGGGGCATTCAATCTTATTTTAGCTATTTTTTGAGATTTTTGGATATTGTTTTAGATCTTGATGATTATCTTTGCTTCTATTTGCTGTAAATTGATAGTTAACAGTGAGTAAATTCTCTATAGGTCCCCACGATGTGCCAACTACCTATTTTGGTTACTATTTTTCCATCTTATCGTCACTTTTCCCGTTTTAACCCGTCTTCCATTTCCAGTCCCCACCGTATTCGCGTCTGTCTTTCGCCCCCGCACCGAGATGTGGTCGGATTACATGTACCTGGAGCAACAGGCCCAGTATCGTCCAATCCGCTTCTCCAAGTCGCTGAAAAAGGGCATTCGCAAAATTTTTTGTCGATTTTCAGTGGGCCAAAGCTTCCGCTCCCACGACGCACCGTCCACCTCGACTTCTCCGCACCAAGTTGAAGATGTGGAAGCCCGTAAGGACATGTACGAGCAGTTCGAGCCCGCCGGATTCACCGGCTCAACGCCGGAAGCGCCCTCAGGAACCACCGGACTCTATGGACCACGAATGAAGACCCCAAAGCTGGAGAAAACGGAGGATTCGGAGGTTCCAACCACCTCAACACCCATGGAACAGCCCAAAGTCCGTCAGCACAGAGTGGTCTGCCGCACCGACCGCCCGCAGGAATGGCAACAGCCGTTGTTTTCGACCAGTGTTACTGTTGAACATGAACATCCCGCAGACACTATGGAAATGCATGAGGTAGGAGATTTTGTTTGTTTTTGAGGTTTTTAGGACCGAAGAGAAGAGTTTATGAAAAGAAATTGCAATGCCAAAGCAATTTGAGAGAATACAGGTTTTCGTGGTGGGACCAAAAATTTTGATGAAAGTTGAAATTTTTGGGCTCGTGGTTAAATTAAACAGGATTTGATGATTTTTTGATGGCCAAAATACGAAATTCGCATTTCAGTGGCCCAGAAAACGCATGCGCGACCCCTCGCAAACGCCGATCATCGAGTTCAGCGACCAATTCCTGGACGATTATCGGCTCACCCCGCCCGAACGCACCAGACAATTCCCGGTGGAGCCGGCGGATCGGCATCAGGACACCACAAAGGTAAGATTCCATCCGTTTTTGCTTATGTTTTCAGCCCCTAATCGGCCCCCATGTCGCGCGAACTCCGGCCACCAGCACCCCCGGCCAACGTCATCATCGAGGCGTCGGGGATCTGGTCCACGCCAAGGAGCGCCGCGTCCATTGCATCCGACAGGTCCTCGAGGCCACCCGCAACCCGCAGGGCATCAGCCGCGAACGCCCCTCCAAGTGGTCGCGGGATTATTGGTTCGGAAGAAGAGGCCAGCGCGAACGAAGTTTGCCCATCTTTGGACAATACAAACGCACCAAAGCGGATCCCCTGAAGGGATTGGCGGATTCCAGAGATGATTATAGGTAAGAGGGAGAATGGTTAGAGATCATGGGAGGCTTTGGGATACTTTAGGGATACTTTTTGATACTTTTTTGGGATTTTTAAGGATTTTTTGGAATTTTTTAAAATTTTTCGAAAAATAAGTTGTGCCCTAAGGAAATAGTGATGGAAATGTAAAATGAGAGGTTTGGAAAGGCATTTGAAGGTATTTTCGATCATTTAGAAGACAGTTTCTGATTGATTTTTGAGATTTTTTGATTTTTTCGGGGCTTTTTTGAAATTTTTAAAATTTACGGAAAGAATGTGTTCAACTGGAGGGATTGATGAAGAAAATGCACGTTGTGGCGTTTGGAAAAAAATTTCTGGCCATTTTCTATGGCTCTCGTAATTTTTTAAAATCGATTTTTTGAGATTTTTCAAAATTTTTAGCTCAAATTTTTTTTATGGATTTAAAATGATATTTTTATAATGTAGAGCAGCGAGATGCCCTCAGAATTTAATGCGACCACTTTTTTCAGACCGATCTTCACCTACTGGTGCACCGCCGTCCAAATTGCCGTCTCCTTTATCGTCCTGTTGATCTTCGGAATTGGCACGGATTTTACGCATGGAATTGGAGTCATTGAGAGAAGTGGGGATGTCCTGGCGTCCTCCATGTCCTTTCAGCACATTGTGATCTTCGAACAGAACAATATATTTATTGGTCCAAGATTTGTAAGTTTTTTTTTATTTTTTGAGTTTTCGATTTTTAGGGATTTTTGGCGGTAAAAAATTGTGAGATTTTGACCCTGGGCATTTGGAACTGGGACGCTCGGGGAAACCGAAAAGTATTATTTTTCTTCGATGCAAGTGTCGAAATTAGGACAATCGAGGGTGCTGATTTTGAAAATGACATTAATTTTTTTTGATAGTTACTTTTTTCCTTAAGTAGTACTGTAAAGTGGTAATTTTTTTGATTTTTTTTCATAAATACTCGATTTGTGGGTTTTCGATGGTGCTGATTTCGAAAATCTTATTCATTTTTTCTGATTTGAAAACAGCACCATCGAAAACCCCTAAATCGAGCATTTACGAAAAAAAATCAAAAAATTACTAATTTACAGTACTACTTAAGGAAAAAAGTAAATATCAAAAAAAAATGAATGTCATTTTCGAAATCAGCACCTTTGATTTCCCTAGTTTCGACACTTGCATCGAAGAAAAATTATACTTTTCGGTTTCCCCAATCGTCCCAGTTCCAAATGACCAGGTTCAAAATGTCCAACTCCGAGTCATTTTCAGTCAGATCTGGTCCATATCGGCGCCAAATACACGCCCTGTATGCGTCAGGACCCGCGAATTCAGCGCCTCATTGCTGACGAACGAGCCCTCGAAAACAACTCGACTGGTTGCTGTGTGGGCCCCGACGGATGCTTCCAGACCTCCTCATGCCCCAAGCAATTCGCCACTTTCCATAAATTTGTTCATGATGGTAGTCATCGCGCTGTTTGCGGCCAAGATCCGAGATATTGTTTGTCGCCGAGGTCGGTGAAACCTGTGGAATGGAGCGTTAACATCACGGATTGGCCGGTAAGTTGGGGGTTTGGTTTTTTTAGAGACTAGTGGAAAAGTTTTGAGGGGTTGAGGTTACTGTAACATAAAAATTTTGAGGTTTTATCAATTTTTTGAAAATTTGCGAAATTTTTTGGTTGATAGAGGAAGTTAGGGGTTTGTTTTGGTGTTTAAGATTTTAAGAGTGAAATTTTAGAGTTGAAGATTCTAAAATACGGATTTTTTGGCATTTTTTGCGAAATTTCAGGGCTTTAAAAAATTTTTAGAAACTTTAATTTTTGATTATTTTTATTTGGATATCGATTCTACAGAGAGGTTTTAAACCATGTAGATTAATATTAAATGTATTTCGCATGGTAAAAATGCCTTTTTTCCGACTAATTCCACCTTATTTTAGGTTTGCCAAGAGAAGGTCCCGGATCACGACATTCCCCAACGTGAAGCCCACATGAAATGCGAAGTGATGGGCCGCCCGTGCTGCATTCAGATGCACGGCCAATGCCGCATCACCACCCGCGAGTATTGCGACTTTGTCCGAGGCTATTACCATGAGAATGCCACACTTTGCAGTCAAGTGTCCTGCCTCAATGATGTCTGTGGAATGACTCCATTCATGCAGAAAGAGGTCCCAGATCAGTTCTACCGCTTCTTCAGCGCCTTATTTATTCATGCTGGGTGAGTTGAAAGGGTTTGAATTGGGGAAAAATTTTGGGATTTTTTGAAAATTTCTGAAAAATTGGTCGTTATAACAGGTTTAAAATCGTTTTAAATTACTTACTGAGGGTGTAAATGTCGTTTAGAACCATTTTTGACCTCAAAATCGCTCTGTAGAGCAAATGGACGAAGTGTCAAAAATTTTGGACGAAATGTCACTTTTTGAAATTTCAGTTTTTGGCATTTTGCGCTGATAAAAATGTAAGAAATGACTTGAAAATTGATTATTTAGATCGTAGGATACCTGAAATTGATACCAAACTTTTTGTTGACGAAGTGTCAAAATTCATGTGAACGAAATGTCAAATTTTAAAACCGATAATTTTTGACGCAAATTTATGCGTAGTGTATTGTGAACGTTTGTAGATTTGTTGTATGGTCCCCAAATTTTCAGAATCTTGCCCATCCTCGTCACCTGCGGCATCCAGCTGACGATTATGCGCAAATTCGAACACATGATCGGCTGGATCCGAATGGCCATCATCTACTTTGTCTCGGGAATCGGCGGATACTTGGCCAGCGCTTCCTTCGCACCATACATGGTATGTTTGATATAGTGGTAGTGGTGGTTGTCACTTTTTTGGTCGATTTTTTGCTTATTTTAAGCGTTTTTTTTGGTATTTTTTAAAGTTTTTTTGGGTTACCTTGATTTTTTTGCCATTTTTGGGGATTCTGTATGTCGCTGTAGCGTTTAGAGCCACATTTTCAGCAGTTTGATACAATTTATGCAAATTTTTGAAATTTTTTTGAATATGCAAATTTTTGAAAATTATGCAAATTTTGCGATTTTTCAGCCTAGTGTCGGTCCCGCCAGCGCTCAAGCTGGTGTCCTAGGCGCACTGGTCCTGAATGTGATCTACAATTGGAATGTTTTGACGAATCCGAAACGAGCCCTACTGCAACATCTTGCCCTGGCCGCATTCCTGTTTTTGACCGGATTCTTCCCGTACATAGACAATTGGGCACAAGTCACTGGCTTCATCTACGGAATGATCATGTTTGTCGGTAAGAATTTGAAATTTTTCGAAAATTTGTGCGATTTTTTATATTATCTATGAGAAATGTGGGGTGAAGAGGATTGGAAATTTTCGAGAATAGATTGTACCGTTCGTATTTTCAGCGGTGGTTCCGTACGTGACGTTTGGCCGAGGAACCCGACTGGTGATCGTGATCTTCTCCTTGATCACGGCCGGTGTTCTGACCTTCTTCCTGATGGTCCTCTTCTACGGCCTGCCGGTCATTGACAGCCCATGGCTGGACAAGTTCAACTGCCCCTTCAGCGGTCATATCTGCGAACAACAGGGGCTCACACTTCGATCCTGGCTGCCTATATGATTTTTTGGCGGATTGGCCCCCGATTTTGCCGATTTTTCTCAAATTTTGGTGCTTTTTGGCCAATTTTTCTGCTCAAAATGCTGGATCCATGGTCTACAATGTCTCCTCGCACCCTGCCAACTGTATTTTATGTGTGTTCGTAACGTGTATCGCGCCCAGAACTGTGATCTTCAACATATCCCCAACAAGAATTGATGTCTTTCCCAAAACCTCTCAGGGAATTGGCCGATCGGGCCAATCCATGTTTTGTCAAGTCGTTTGTATCTACCTTCCCACCATTCTCAACATATCTCCAGTCATTTGTTGAAATTGTATAGATTTGTATTTTTATTTTTTTTTTAATTTGGAAAAATAAAAAATTTAAAAATTGAACTTTTTTGTCGATAAATTGTACACAGAGCTTACGGTATAATTACATCAAAGTGCCCACTCGAATTTTACATTCAATTTATTCAAAAATTGGCGATGGAAATTCGAAAAAATAGAAGAAATAGTGAGAGAAAACCGAAAAAAATTACAGTAATCCAAACAAGATTAGTGCATACTGTAACCCAAGCAAAAAGGCAAAAAAATAAAAGAGCTGTTAGTACTGTAGATTACAGCGCAACTAAGGCGAAAATACCCGTTCAAATTGAAGAAAATTTGTAAGAAAAAGCTGTTTGATCCTGAAAATGGGCCTGTAGAAACGGTTCGAATTAATTGGCAGTGAATGAAATCAGCAGAACGTGGGTCATATTGTCTATTATATTCGAATTCAAGAAAAAATTAGTCGAAAATTATCAAAAAATAAGGGAAATATCAAATTCGGTCCAAAAATTATATTATTCATGAGAAAAAGGTGACCTAAGCTATGCAAAGTTATTGGAAAATGGCTGTTATTGAATCTATAAGGTCTAAAATCGCGGTCTAGGCCGATGAAAATTGGCGTGGACATCAAAAATCGTTCGAAAAAGGGTAAACTTAATCTAGAGCTAAGGGGAGAAAAAAGTGAGGAATTTTGCACCGTGAAGACTGATACACACAAGTCTGATGGGAACTACAACACACTACTCGACTCAGAGAACAACACCAAAGCATTAAACATTCCAGCAAAGAAGCCAAAGCTCGGGAAAATCGACATCTCCAAAGTGGGAGGTCCGTCTAGTATAATATCGAAAAATTTTGATGCTAACGTCCAAAAAACCTGCGGCAATACATTCTAAAATACGGTCAATGTCTTTAGCCTACTCTAAGACTTCCATATTTTAGAATATATTCGCTAATTAACACTAAATTTCTCAAAAATCCCAAAAAATCGTGCGAATTTGCGAAAAATTGACTAAGTTGCTAAAAACTGCTTCCAAAATTAGAGACTCGATGGCTAGACTGGAATGGCGTGGCGCTGCGGGTTGGGGCTTTAGTCCTGGTCGTCGCGGAGGCGCTGATGCTCGGAGTTGTGCGCGTTTTTCCTGCAATAATGAACTCGTTTAACAACCGTCGGTGGAATTCCACCCAACTCTTCCTTGGCGACGTCGTAGCTCTTGCGGCCGGCGCGCTTCTTCCAGTAGGCGCACGAATAGATGACCACGAACAGCAGGATCAGGATGATGATGATCACGATCAGTGGGACCAGCCAGTCCAGGCTTCCTGAAATCGCCGAAAAACTTACAAGGGAATGGTCCCAACGATCCGTGGGATCCGCAAATGAAACCTAGATATTCTGAAAGAGCAGGTAAAATTTAGTAGGAATCCGTTTTTTCTACTTGCCGAATAAGTCTGTGCGACGAGAAATATCGACGAAAAGAGCCGACCAAAAAATCGAAAGAGAGAAAAGAGGAACCGAAAGGACTTGGAAGGCGTCACCAAATAGTCTAGTGGAAAAAGTTCCACGCACAAATCTTTTGGGGGAGGGAGGCCTTGGAGGTTCGAGTCCACCCGGAGCCGGACATCTCCGGATTTGAACCTACGTGTTCATTACTGTATTCTACAGTTATACAAAAAAAAATTCTTTTTGTTTATTGACATGTTTTGCAAGGTTTGTTGCAAAATTTTAAGAAAAGTTGACACTTCGGCAATATTTTTGATAAGCCCGATGTCGACATAGTGGTATTTTCAAGACACTTCTACTCGATTCTGGAAGGTTGTATAGGATCTTGCAGATCTTTTTCGGTTTCCCAAAAAGGATGTTGCCAAAATCTCACCTTTTCATAAAAATTTTGCAAGAAAAGTTGAAAAGAGAATTTTTGGGTCCTTGCATAGACCCCGTGAATATTTACGAAAAAATCTATTTTGAGTTTTTTGGTTTAAAATGGCCGTGGACATGTGTTTAACAAACGCCCAAATTATTTTTGTCAAATTCTGTCCGGAAGGTATAAATTTGCATAAATTTGTCTTCTTTGGAACTTCGGACCTGGCGGCATCATAAAAAGAGGTAATGGCCAGTGATTTCCGCGCCTTCGGATGCAAAAAACCTTGTAAAACAGGTTAAACAAAAAAGAATTTTTTTTTGTTAACTGTAGAATACAGTAATGAACACGTAGGTTCAAATCCGGAGATGTCCGGCTCCGGGTGGGCTCGAACCTCCAAGGCCTCCCTCCCCCAAAAGATTTGTGCGTGGAACTTTTTCCACTAGACTATTTGGTGACGCCTTCCAAGTCCTTTCGGTTCCTCTTTTCTCTCTTTCGATTTTTTGGTCGGCTCTTTTCGTCGATATTTCTCGTCGCACAGACTTATTCGGCAAGTAGAAAAAACGGATTCCTACTAAATTTTACCTGCTCTTTCAGAATATCTAGGTTTCATTTGCGGATCCCACGGATCGTTGGGACCATTCCCTTGTTAGAGGAAATCGAAAAAATCTGTCCAAAAATTACGGGCGGTGGGCGTGTGACGTCCGGAGTTGGATGATTGGGAAAAAAGACGATTGGGGAAACCGAAAAGTATTATTTTTCTTCGATGCAAGTGTCGAAATTAGGATAATCGAGGGTGCTGATTTCGAAATGACATTCATTTTTTTTGATCCTTACTTAAGGAAATCATTTTTTCGAAATCAGCACCCTCGACTATCCTAATTTCGACACTTGCATCGAAGAAAAATAATATTTTTCGGCTTCCCCAATCGTCTTTTTCCCCAATCATCTTTTTCACCAATCGTCTCTTTCCCCAATCGTCCAACCCCGGGGCGTTTTACATCATTTCCATTCATAAAAACATCAAAAATCGCAAAAAATTGCCTCAACTCACCCGTAACTCTCAATTGTTGATCAAGTACAAGGTCGAACTTGGTGGGCTCGGCATCCAGATGAACCGGAAATTCATTTGACGCCACACACCGATACAAGCCCTCGTCTTCGTCGGCGACATTGAAGATCGACAACTGATTCCGGTAGATCTTGTACTTGTCCGAGGGCTCGATGTATTCCCCATCCTTAAACCATCGAATGTCGGGGTGCGGGTAGCCGCGAGCTGGACAATCGAGAACACCAGTGGTCCCTCGAACCGCCTTGGCCGAGGGGCCATTGAATTCGAAGAGGTTGTCGTCGTCTTTCAGCTCCAATCGGAATGAGGAATTTGTGTGGAAAACGGGCCGGACTGAAAATGAAATTGTGAAAAAATTACAGTATTCCGCAAAAAGAAGTAGCAACCAGAAGGATCATCAGGCTCTATTCTACATTTTAATACCATATTCGACTTAGTTCTGATCCAAAACCCCCAAGTTATGGCGATTTTCCGAATCCCCATCTAAAATAAGGTCCCAACTCACAAAAATGGAATTTTGAAAAAATTACAGCAATCCAAGACGAAAAAATAGTAACCAAAAGAATCGTCAGGCCCCTTTCTACATTTTAATACCATATTCGACTCAGTTCTGATGCAAAAAAACCAAGTTATGAGGATTTTTCAAAACCCCATCTAAAATAAGGTCCCAACTCACAAAAACCGAATTTTTAAAAAAATTACAGTAATCCAAGAAGAAAAAATAGTAACCAAAAGAATCGTCAGGCCCCTTTCTACATTTTAATACCATATTCCACTCAGTTCTGATGCAAAAACACCAAGTTATGAGGATTTTCACAACCCCCATCTAAAATAAGGTCCCAACTCTCAAAAATCCTCAAAAAATCGCATTCAAACCTCTCCGAATTGGCCAAACAAACTCACGATAAATGAACAAGTTCCCGTGCACCATTTCCTCTTCGGATGTCTTGATCTCGCACTTGTATTTCCCAGCCACATACAAATTTTGTTTCCCCAGGTCCAGATAGGCTCGTCGGTTCTCCACTCTTGCATTAAACTTTTTGTTGGGGCTGAAATGCAGGAAACTGGCGTTCTGGATCGGCAACTTCACATAGTCGCCATCTGAGCCCTTCACAACGGCTTGACACCTGAAATTTAAATTTATGTTGTACTAGGTGAGAGGATGAACAAAAAGTCGCCAAAAACTAAAATCTTTCGGAAAACTTTGAGCTGGAAAGTTGAAAAATAGAGCTAAGCAATATCAGAGAAGATTTTACTTACCAAAGTGCGGTCAAGTTGTCGGTCAATGGGCGGTTTTCGGTCGATTTTCCACTTCGTGCCCGGAAAACCAACTGGAGATTACCTTGAGCGAACGATGCACGGCATGTAATCACTCCGAGGTACAATAGGGAAACTGAAAATGCCGTAAAAATTCAGTAAAAATAATTTTCCACCCGAAAAAATATTAATTTAGGCGTCTGCACTGTGCAGATATAACTTTAGATGAAAGAACAGACTAAAACAATAAAATCTGGGGTAAAAACACAATAAAAAGAATGCAGTCTTCCTGATATTCCTTTAGACTACCAGACTCCCTGAGATTTCACCCAAAACAGCAACAAAAATAATATTTTAGGTACCTGCACAGTGCAGATATTATTTTTGCCGAAAGGCAATAAAAAATTCAAAAATTGGCCTTCAAACACATTCATCCAGCAAGAATACGTTTTAAACTTTCTCCAGACATCAAAACGCTTCATGATTTCCGCCCCTGAACACCCGAAAAAATCAATTTCTTCTTGCTCGACATCCAAGACATAACTCCGCAAACTTACGCAACAATAAGAGGTTTCTCATGTTCAGGCTTCTATTCTGTATTTTTGAGCACAAAAACTAGAAGAGGATCAGTGAAGGCGATGCATTTAAGTGACCTGCAACAATTTTGGATATTACACTAGGTGAACAGAGGAAAATCGCGATAAAATTAATAAACACGGGATAAAACCAGCGAAATCTGATAAAATACGATAGGACAAGCCCTAGGGCCGTTCCACCGCTGACAAGAAGCGCGGAAAAGAAACAATTCTGAAATCAGATTTTCGTTGCGGGACCATTTCCGAGGTATGGTGGAAGTTGAAACAACCTGCTAAAAAGCTATAGCACTACTTTCTATGGGATTTTGGACCGCAAATAATGATTTTCACTAATCTAGGCACAATATGAAACTGTTTTCCACCTAAAATAATATCGGATATCCACATTTTCCCAAAATCTGCGATCAATCCAAAACCCTTCCGCCAAATGACAAATGGTCCCCGAAAAGTTCCCGTTCGACTCAGAAATTATTCAAAAAACCCTGTCGTTCCGAGAATTTCCAAGAATCCCAGCGTAATTAGTCAACATTTATATTACACTTGGTCCTCCGAGTGTTTGTCCAAAAAAATAAGGGGGGAAATGAATGGAGATGTCTACTTTTTTAATTTTCAGAGTTTTTATGAAGATTTTTTTATATTTTGCAAGAAAATTTTTGATTTTTTTGGCAAAATTGTAAAAAAAAATATTTTTTTCAGTTATGTATAAAGTTACTGTATAGCAAAAAAATGGTGGTAAAACATCAGAAAGCTCAATATAACCGCAGAAATGTATCCATTTCGTATGCCCGAGGGCCTCAACACATCTCCGAGCAAGATTTCCAAAAAAAAATAAAGCTAAACGCCTGAGGGGAAGTTGGTAGTACGGACCGAAAAAAGATTTCAGAAGTCGTCTCAAACGCTTCTCCGCATCAGAAATCTATTAAATTGTATAGCTGTAGTCATAATCTGATTTAAAATCTTTTTTGGAAAAAATATTTTCGCAAAAAAAAATTTTTTGACAAAAAGTATTCGAAATGGCCGTAGTATGGAAGATCATACAGCCAGATGTTTTCGTGGCCCCCCGGAGGCTTCTGAATCAGCGTCAGAGGGTCAAAAAAAAAGCGAAAATAGTAGGAGATTACAATTTATGATGACTGCGTAAGGGTGAGTAAGCAGGCGGAGAAGGCGGGAAATCGAGCAATAGAGAGAGTAGGGATGAATAAAAGAAAAAATCGCGGTTTCCCGGTGAAAAAAACAATACCTTTTGAGACAAAAATGGAAAAATTGAGTAGTATAATATAAAAAATGCTGATTTCACTCAAAATTTTGCAGTTTTTTGAGAGAAAAAGTGATTACAAAATAAAACATAGCCAAAAAAATCTCTTGTTGCCCCCAAAAATCAAAATTTCTGACCGAAAATACAACTATACTTGGTTGCACAACTTTTTTAATAAAAAATATTTTTATGCAAAAAATCCCCGAAAAATAAAAAAAAATTCACTTCCAAAAAGTACTGTAAAAAATTTCTCGACTAATCTTGACCCACAAAAGTCAAAATGCTCCGTAGTTCCAAATATTTCCGCTTTAGAAAACCAAACACAAACACGTATAATATAAAGAAAAGGATTACGGAGAATTTTTTTATATTCAAATGTCAAAAATATATTTTTGTTTGCCCTTGCCTATCCCAAAAGATATTAAAACTCGAAAAAAGAAGATTCAGACGGAAAATATTTGAAGATGCTGGATGATAAGGGTATTTTCAACGGATTTAAAAAAGTGTTCGACGAAAAATGAGAGAAAACAAGAGTTTGAAGGGATTAAGGGGGTCAAATTTTGAGTAAAATAATTTTCGGGAAGAATTAAAATAAAATTTCAAAAAAAAATAAAAAATAAAATATGTAGATAAAACAAAATAAAAATAAAATAAAAAAATAAAAGTAAAAATAATTAAAATAAAATAAATAAAATTAAAAAATAAGATAAAAAATCTCGGTATTTTCTGAAAAATTTTCTGAAATGACTGAACCATTTCTATATAATATTTTACTTTTAATTTGTCCTAAGTTTCATAAAAAATCAAAAAAAAAAAAAAAAAGAAATAAAATAAAATGTAAAAAAATAAAATATAAAAAAATAAAAAAAACTTTTTCCTAAAAAATATGTACCTCTACAAGCCCCGCTGACGCGGGCCTTGACGCCGCTGTGCGCGCAAAGGTCGTCCAACATAGAGTTGACTTGATCGCACAAAGGTTGATGATCGCGTGCACTATAGTTGATCGTCCAGGCCACGCTTCGCGTGGCCAACAACGCGCTGCCGCGCGTTATACTGCCTCAAGCCCGGTAGCCCCGTTAGCCAATTGCCGCGCGCCAGCGCTACCTTTCATCAGCTGAACTGTTCTTTGCACTTTACTTCGGCCTTCGGCCTCGGCACAGTTTACTCCAGCAGTCAACTACAACATTCAGAAGGTTCCGTAATCAACGGCGGCCTTCGGCCGCCGAAGCTTCCAAAAAAACAGTCACTTTGGCTCGGCCTTCGGCCTCGCAGTCATTTTTTGTGTTGCTTCATCGTTATTGAACTTTTCCTCGGCCTTCGCCCTCGACAGAATCCCGGGAGCCCTACATTCAGAAGGTTCCGTGACCAACGGCGGCCTCCGGCCGCCGAAGCTTCCAAAAAAAAGTCCCTTTGGCTCGGCCTTCGGCCTCGCCAAGTCGTATTTTAAGAAATTTTGGAGTTTCTTTTAACTTTACCTTGTCCTTCGGCCTCGGCACAGTTTACTCCAGCAGTCAGCTACAACATTCAAAAGGTTCTGTAACCAACGGCGGCCTTCGGCCGCCGAAGCTTCCAAAAAAAAGTCAGTTTGGCTCGGCCTTCGGCCTCGCCAGGTCGTATTTCAGGAAATGAAAGTGGTTTCTGGACCGGTTTTTCACGCTGATCACGATGGTCCAAGTCTCGATTCACGAAATTTGAATTTAGCGGCCGTATGGCTGATTTTCGGCCGAAATGCCCACTCTTGGCCGAATTTCGGCCGGTGCTCACTGAATTCGAAAGCGATTGGGCTGAAATTTGGCACGATGGAAGCTTATGGAATTTGTCGAAAACTGACCCGAGCCGAATTTTGAATTTTGCACTTTTGCCCTCGGGGCGCATTTAGTTCGCTGAAAAAATTTTATTTTGGTCTGGACGGTCGTATTTTACGAAAAGTTGGAGTTGCGCACATGAATATTACCCAGAATTTGATTCTGCGTCGATTGGTACCAAGATCGTGTCGATAGCTCCACTGGCAGCCGAGTTCTGGAAGGGCGGATCCAGAAAATTTCGAATTTTTGCCTTTGTCGCTAGGCGGGCGGGGTAAGATGGTCGTATGTTGGGAAGTGAAAGTTGTTTCTAGGGCAGTTTGAGGTGCTCATTACGGGGCTTTTCTCGAAAATCCGAAAAATTTGAAGTCCGAGCCCTGAGGGCCGATTTTCTGCAAAAAATCCCGAAAATTCGCTACGGTGCGTTCGATGAGCATTCCGGCACCGTATCAGAAGCCGAAAATAAGCACAGAGTAACTTCAGTCTATTGCCGAGACAATGCCGAAGCCCTTTTTTTGGATTTCGATCTAGTTTTTCCGGAATACTTTCCGGAAAATTTGGACTTTTTCGGGAAATTTCAGAAAATCTCGAATAGCTAAAATACGAAATACGACACGGTAACGCAATACATGGTTCTAGGGCATGTCAGGCATGCTGATTCAGAATCCGTTGTCAAAATCCAGAAATTCCGTCATCTTGATGGTGAAATCTGGAAAAAACCGAAAAATGTCGAAAATCGCTTATAACTTTCGACCGGTCGATCCCACACTCACGACCTTTAGCTCAAAAGGCTTAGAATTTTGCGTAGATAATGATGGAACTCAGTTTCGTCCCGCTGGATAGCGTTAACACCAGGTACCCTCAGGGCATATATGTGAAAAATTCGAAAATTCGCAGGATTTTGGCCCCGGTCGATGATGAAAAATGTATAAAAGGTAAGGGCAACTCAAAAAATGTGAAAAGTTACAGCCGATCCAAAATCAAAAAATCCCATTTTCAAACGCTCACAGTTCCCGCCAGGATGAAAATTCCAACTAAGTGCTGATGCCAAAAGTCATCGAATCCCCGCACCAGTTGACAAAAAAAAAGTCTCGAAAAAAAGTGCACGTTGAGTATTTTTCATTTTAGCAAATTGGGGAGTTTTTGACAAGCCCCCGCTTCGCGGGGCCTTGACGTCGCTGTGCGCGCAAAGGTTGCCCCTGCACAGTGTCGCTGATCGCGCACTACCTCTGGAGTCGCTGGCCACGCTTCGCGCGGCCAGAAAAACGCGCTAACGCGCGTTCTACTTACTCAAGCCCGGGAGAAAGACATGCTCCGCTCCGACCCGGAGCAAATATTTCGAATCACAATCATCCACCCCAGCCAACCCAAATTTACCCCGCCCCGTTGGAATGGGGAATTCCGCTTTCTTTCTCCGTCTTCTCTTCCGGTCTCTCGCTCTCCGCTCTCTCTCGAATTTCGAAACTTGCGTAAAAGCAAACGAATTTCCCTCTCTCGCTCTCCGCTCTCTCTCGAAATTGAAACTTGTGTAAAAGCAAAGGAATTTCCCTCTTTCGGCTCGGCCATCGACCCCGCACAAAAAAATTCAAAGTCCACCGCCATTGGGGACGACTCGGCGAGGCCTCCGGCCTCGCCGAGTCGTATTTTAGGAAATGAAAGTGGTTTCTGGACCGGTTTTTCACGCTGAACACGATGGTCCAAGTCTCGATTCACGAAATTTGAATTTAGCGGCCGCAGGGCAAATTTTCGGCCGAACCGCCCACTTTTGGCCGAAATTTGGCCAGTGCTCGCTGAATTCGAAAGCGATTGGGCTGAAATTTGGCACGATTGAAGCTTGTGGAATTTGTCGAAAATTGGCCCGAGCCGAATTTTGAATTTTACACTTTTGCCCTCGGGGCGTATTTAGTTCGCTGAAAAAATTTAATT